TTCTGAGGAAGGGTCACTGGACCCGAAACGTTAACTCTGGTTTCTCTCCACAGATGCTGCCAGACCTGCTGAGCTTTTCCAGCAATTTCTGCTTTTGTTTTGATTTACAGCATCCAGAGTTCTTTCAGTTTTTAAGCAAACATTGGAGTTTGGCTCTATCCAACAAACAAACAAAAGCACTTCTACTTGTACATGGTTATATTTGAGGCTTTGGTAGGGTCCGATAACTGAACGGATCCCCATTTACCTTCAGCAGGAAGACCTCAGACCGTGGTCTTTCCCCACGGCGCCCTGGCAGCGGCTGTCCCAAGCTTTAGTGCGTCCCTCAGCACGTAGTCCTGGACGTTGGAATGTGCCAGTCTGCAACACTCAGTCGAGGTCAACTCCTTGCTCTGGAAGACCAACAAGTTTCGGGCAGACCAAAGAGCATCTTTCACCGGGTTGATGGTCCTCCAGGCGCAGTTGATATTTGTCTCAGTGTGTGTCCCGGGGAACAGATTGTAGAGCACAGAGTCCTGTATCACGGAGCTTCTCAACAAAAATCACTGCATCTTTCTCCAGACTCTATTTGCAAAGTCACATTCCAGAAGGAGGTGTGACAGTCTTGAGCCCCCACCGCAGCCACCTCGAGGGCAGCATGCAGTGGCACAGACCGACCAGACGTACAAGAAGGATCTCACAGGTAGTGACCTTCTCACCACCAGCAAGCGAGCACTTTTGCTAGCTCTTCCTCATTTGCAGCAGTTGGCAGTTTGCCATTGGAGCTGTCCTGACCTCTCTGTGACCACACCTATGTCAATGTGGGGCAAATATAGGGAAAGGGGTGCATTCCAATTCTCCAGGATTGTCCTGCACTCTCTGGAATTGAACATCAATCTGTGTTAGATTGGACAGTGGACATCAGGACTGTGTTATTGTTTGCAACCCTGGTGAAAAATTGCAGCATGTCTAAAAAAAATCTGATTACAAAGCATTCACTTTACTCCAAACACAAAGTTCCCCTCTAACACACATTCCCCCTCAAACACTTCATTCCTTCAAACACATAATCCCTCCAACACTCACTCTCCCCAACACTCACTCCCTCAAACACTCACTCTCCCAAACACTCACTCTCCCCAACACTTACTCCCTCCAACACACACACCCCAAAACACTCACTTCCTCAAACTCACTCTTCCCACAAACACTCACTCTGTCCAAATTCCCGCTTCCCACCTGAACATACATCCTATGCAAATCTACCTAAAGCACCTAATCTTACCCTACTCTTGCCTCTCATTCAGAGAGTCACTTAGGCCCGTGCAGTTGTAATCTAGCCCCTCTCGCCATTCTATAGAGCAATGAGGGAATGCTGCATTGTCATACGCTCCCATTTTCAGGTGACCATGATGTGGAGGTTCCGGTGTTGGACTGGGGTGGACAAAATCAAAAGTCACATGACACTAGGTTATAGTCCAACGGGTTTATTTAAAATCACAAGCTTTTGGAACGCTAATCCTTTGCCAGGTGAAAGCTTGGAATTTTAAACAAACCTGTTGGACTATAACCTGGTGTTGGAGCTGAAAAAGCATAGCGGGTCAGGGAGCATCTGAGGAGCGGGAAAGTCAACGTTTCGGGCCGAAACACTTCATCGATTGCAGCATCTTCTGTCCTTACTGTCTCCAGGGCTGTAACCTGGTGTCGTGTGACTTCAGACTTTTTCTTTGAGGTGAGACACTGACCTGTGGGCCCCATCTGCCCTCTCAGGTGGGTAATGTTGGCTGTACGTCACGATTTAAGGAGGAGCAGGAATTTTCCCTCTGAGAGTGCTGGCGAAAACACATTCCCCCCCCCCAAAAAACATCCCTGAGGCAGATGAATCCAGTTGATATCAGGTGGCAACTTGTGGGATCTTACTGTGCACAATTTAGATGCCATGTGATTGCTGTAAGTGTAAAGGCAGAGGTTTCAACCCAGGGAGGCTCAGCAATTAGTTAATGCTTCGCCAGCATTGTATTTTTTAAGACTCATTTTATTCATTAAACTCTTATCCAACCCTGAACTCCGCACCGCCCCCTTCCCCGCGTATGCAGATTAGGAGCGCCGTGCATTGTGGGAGCACTTGCACTGACGTTGCGGGGGGGGGGGGATGTTTTAAAATGAGAATATTGCCAAGAGGTTGGGCTTTACGGCTAATAAAATTCATGTCTGACAACTTACAGGCAACTATAGTGCACGCAGTTTATTAGGGCGGGTCACCCTGACTTAAAAATGTGTTGTCTGTCCTTGGTTTGGAGCCGCGGAGGGTTCGGGCTTATCGTCAGTAAGGTACATCCTTACCTGTTACTCCGTAAGGAGTTGCAGAAAATGATGAATGGAGTGAATGAGCTGGTGATTAATACAGGCTCCCACCCCTGAGGAACTAACAACCCCTCAGAGGCCATTCTGATTATTACTGACGATGCTGCACTGTCCTGTGTCAACTATGCTTCAGTACGACAGCTATCTCTGTTAGTTTGGGTAAAGTCAGTGACTTGCGTGTTCTCAGCTCAATGAGCTGTCTTTCAGCTTTGACACTGTAACTTACTTCCCTAACCGGAGCGAAATGTTTCATTTCAATTCTGACTTACTTTCAGAAACCAAACGGATGCCGTAAATCAGGGACAAAAGCAACAAAGTTGCTGGAAAAGCTCAGCGCATCTGCGAAGAGAAATCAGAGTTAACGTTTAAGGTCCGGGTGACCCTTCCTCAGAACGACATGGCTTACTTAGCACATCTGCCAATGTGGTATACTGTATCCGCTGTTCCCGATGTGGCTTCCTCTACATCGGGGAAACCAAGCGGAGGCTTGGGGCCGCTTTGCGGAGCACCTACGCTCGGTTCGCAATAAACAACTGCACCTCCCAGTCGCGAACCATTTCAACTCCCCCTCCCATTCCTCAGACGACATGTCCATCCTTGGCCTCCTGCAGTGCCACAACGATGCCACCTGAAGGTTGCAGGAACAGCAACTCATATTCCGCTTGGGAACCCTGCAGCCCAATGGTATCAATGTGGATTTCACAAGCTTCAAAATCTCCCCTCCCCCCACCGCATCCCAAAACCAGTCCAGCTCGTCCCCGCCTCCCTAACCTGTCCTTCCTCCCACCTATCCCCTCCTCCCACCTCAAGCCCCACCCCCATTTCCTACCTACTAACCTCATCCCGCCCCCTTGACCTGTCCGTCCTCCCTGGACTGACCTATCCCCTCCCTAACTCCCTACCTACACTCACCTTTACTGCCTCCATTCCCGCCTCTTTGACCTGTCTGTCTCCTCTCCACCTATCTTCTCCTCTATCCATCTTCTATCCGCCTCCCCCTCTCTCCCTATTTATTTCAGAACTCCCTTCCCCTCCCCCATTTCTGAAGAAGGGTCTAGGTCTGAAACGTCAGCCTTTCTGCTCCTATGATGCTGCTTGGCCTGCTGTGTTCATCCAGCTCTGCACCTTGTTATCTCATGACTTATTTTCACTTGTGTGTTACTTTAGGCGGTACTGCAGCTGATGATTCACATGTTTCACTTTACCCGTGACTGGCTGAGTGTTTCTATTGCTCAATGTCCAAACTCTGATGTACTTCTGCTTTCAAATGGGAGGCGATGGCCTGGTGATATTATTGCTGCGCTGTTAACCCAGAGAACCAGGTGTTGTCCTGGGTACTTGGTTTGATTCCTACCAAGGCAAATGGCGGAATTTGAATTTAATAAAAATCTGGAATTAAGAGTCTAATGATGACCATGAAATCATTCTCAATTGTTGGGGAAAAACTCATCTGGTTCACTAATGTCATTTAGGGAGTCAAGCTGCCATCATTACCTGATCTGGTCTACATATGACTCCAGACCCACAGCAATGTGGTTGGCTCTCAGGAATGGGCAATAAATACTGACCTAGCCAGTGATGCCATCATGCCATGTATGAACTTAAAAAAACCTTTAGCCTATCCCCAATCTCTATTGTTTCTGTCTCCACCCATGTCGCCTGGTGCCCCCAGTTAAGGATCAATGTGATTTTTAAATTTCCTTCCTCCAGTTCCACAAACATCTGAGGCATTTGTTGATTTCTTTGCTGGGCATCCCCAATTTTGATTCTTCTACTGTCAGCCATGCCTTCAACTGCCTGTGACCTGAACTCAGAAGCTCCCTCCTTAACTCACCTGCCCTATTAAAATGTTCCTTAATGCCTTTCTCTCTTTGTTATTTCCTAGCATGACTCAGTATCATGTTTTGCTTGATTAATGGTGCTGTGTGAATGGAAATTGTTGTTCTGTAAGTACAGTAGAACAGAATAGCAATTTATTGTCACTCGAATTTATGAAAATACGGTGAGATGTGTAAAAGTTGCCACAATTCAGCGCCATCTTAATTACAGAAAGAGATAATTGAGACCAAGTTAGGACAAAGTTCAATTTTTGTCCACTCCACGCCAATCTGGCTTTATAGGGTGGCTATGTGGATTCCTTGAGAATTTAACCTGTTGCGTTAAGTGTGCTTCTAAATAATAGAATTGATAAATGATTTTGTGAGAGTTTATATTAAATATGTACATATATGCGTAAAAATGCATCTTGCACTCTATAAATTATGTCCTCATTTCCAGTTCATTCCAACTAATAGCATAAGCTGCACCCTCTCCATTTATATGCGCTGTCCACGGTGGAACAAAATCAACATTTCATCTGGTCAAGTCAGACTCAAAATACAATCGTTACCACAACAACGACTTGAACTATGCACAAACAGAAGTTGCTGGAAAAGCTCAGCAGCTCTGGCAGCATCTGTGAAGAAAAAATCAGAGTTAATGTTTCAGGTCTGGTGACCCTTCCTCAGAACTTTCCTGGATTAATAGTTTAGTGATGCTTTGGGGTGGCACAGTGGCTCAGTGGTTAGCAATGCTGCCTCACAGCGCCAGGGACCTGGGTTTGATTCCAGCCTCAGGTGACTGTCTGTGTGGAATTTGCACATTCTCCCCGTGTCTGCGACATAGTTCGACATGACAGTTCTCCACAGTAAAAATTAGGAAAATAAGGAAATAAAGTTAGAAAATTAGCATTACTGTCCTTCAGTAGCCTGCAGTCACTCCCTGATGGGGGCTTTCCACATGTGATCTCACTCTCCCCCTTCACTGGGCCAACCCCAGCCAGACTCGTAAGCTGCTGACCAGCACCAGTGACAGGCTGACTGTCAGACCCCCAGCCCACTGACCAACCTGCCCCATACCCCCAACCCACTGACCATCCTGCTCCGGACCCCCAACCCACTGACCATCGTGATCTGGACCCCCAAACCACTGACCAT